TTGCCATTAGGAGCACTTTCTTATATTGACAGGACTAATCTGCGTACCACATGAGTATATAGCCAGTCTGTGGGAGCCAGAATTATTGTTGGTTCATAGGGGGATCAAATACTTATTTTACTCACTGAACTGCCACTCAATTTATAACATTTGTATCGTGGTTTTTTTTCTGGCTTTGCAGTTGATATTCTGTCTCTATCATTTAAAATATACCTATGATAAAAATTATAGACCATTTATTTGTGAGCAGACTTACAAAATCTGCAAGATATCAAATCATTTTACCCACTGTAAGCCTTCAAAATGGGCATTTTTGAATATACAGGTTTGAGTCCCATAGACGTGCATTGAGTTTGAAGTTCACAGTGGACCTTTCATTAAGTTTGAATGTTCAACCGCGAACTGAACACGGGGGTGTTCAGCCCATCACTACTGTTCATAAGTTACTCTTATGTTAGAGTTTAATTCCACTTCAAAGAGGACCCGTTACCTGCACTTTCCTATCACATAGGAAGCTTGACAAGACCTCATCTTTTATTGTGTGTTTTGTGTATACAAAAATTAATTTGCGCATTTGTTTTTACTGAAACCATAGATTAAATCAGTATCAGCAATCATGTCACCAGCTATCACAGGAGTCACATGTTCAGGAACTGGTCCCTTTAGCTGACAGCCCATTCTCTGTGCTTGGCACACTCTCTCAGCACAGAAACATTGGCTGCCCAGTGACACATTGTGACGGGAGTCACTTTGGGTGGGGGGGCCCATGAAACACAGCTCCCCAAATCCCTATTATGTGTAAGTCACCCTGTGCCTGTTAGGGGTAAAGGGTGATCTGTCCTAATATTGGGGTGGGGGGTAGTTGATTGTTTAATGCCATGTGGTTGCATCCCATTGTTCTATTGTCTTGCTTGGGAGCAAAATATAATATGGGATGTATGTGTATTAGCTTAGTGGGGGGGGGGGGGGGATGGGTGTCTCCAGCATCCCTCCCTCCTGATGGGACTGTCTGCTGCTGTGAAGTTTCAATACCTGTGTGTCTCTTGTTGCCAAGTATAGATTGCCCCGCCCTGTGTCATTATGCAGTAAGGGGGAATTGTCCCGAGAGTATTAAAAATCCAGTTCGAGTTTCAAATAAAGAGTTTCATGTTCAGACAGACTGGTGTCGTCTAGTCTTGTATGGTCAGCTGTGGTTTCTGTTGTTGGTGTTTGGACAGGGAAGCGGTAGCCTAACGGAAGTACCCAAGCGCAGACTGGATCGGTTTCATTACACACGTGTGACGTGTGGGCATTAAAGCCCACTCTTGCTGCCACGCATATGTAAACAGCAAGAGTTATGCGGGTGGCAACAGGTTAAAGACATAAGCATTGTTTGTGTGGTTTGCTTCAGCAGCCATTTGTTTAGAACTGATACAATATGCCAAAGTTAAAAAATGAACTGATTTGGTGTGACAGTATGTCTCATGGCACATACAAGTCACAATGACTGACAGTCATTGCTGGCACAATTTTGGGCATTCCAAGTTCTAAATTCACAGTTCCAAATTTTGAGCTCTGAACTCCATATTCCAGATTCTTTGTTCCAAGTTCCAAATGTTTTTTATTCAAATTTCTAAATATCAAATTTTGAGTACTGAGTTCCAAATTTTGAGCTCCAAGTTTCAAATTTTAAATTCCAGGATTACGAGTTCCAAATTTTGAGTTCTGAATGATATTTTCAAAATTCATTTTACATGTGGTTGAATCTGTTTTTGGGTTTTGAGCCCATTCTGACACTTTTTTTTTATTGCATCTGAGCGCTTTTCATGAAAATTTAAAGGGGCTCCCTCTAATTTTGTTATGCATTTTTTTCACTTTTGTATCATTATTTTACCAAGGAATAACCAGAGGGATAAAATATGAGTTGATTTCAGACTTTAACCAACATTAAAGCTTTGGGTTTTTTTAAAAATAAAAACAAACATGTTTTACTTACCTGCTCTGTGCAATGGTTTTGCACAGAACAGCCGCAATCCTCCTCTTCAGAGTCCCCTTCCAGCGCTGGTCTGTTCAAGCAGATTTTCAAGGAGGCACCCGTGCAGGGTTGCTCCTAAGCAGACTTCCATGGGGGCACCCGTGCAGGCTTGTTCCCAAGCCGCCCTGTCTGCATCCAGTGGCTTGGCACTGAATTTGATTGACAGCAGTGGGAGCCAATGGCTCTCACTATTATCAATCCGCCCAAGGAGGAGGGAGACAACGGCAAGAGCTTTTGGAGCCGCTAGATCAGATCAGGCTTGGGTAAGAATAATGCGAGGCTGGGGGGAATTGTGCAGCACAGGTTTTTCACCTTAATGCATAGGAATTAAGTTGAAAAACCTTAAGGTTTTAGAGCCACTTTAAAAAACCAAGAATTGCCATTTCCTGAAACTGGAAGGGAGGCCACAAGACTGAAATTGACCTTTCCTACAGACACAGCAGATCACCGAGTAAATACAGTTGTTGGTTATCGGCTGCACTTTCCTCAGGCTATCACAGCATAAGGAAAGTACAGCTGATAACCAGCAACTGTCACAAAGCAGGTCAGCACTGATCAACAGGGCACTGATGATCAGTGCCACCCATCAGTGCCTCCTCATCAAGGCCCACCAGTACTGCCTTATTAGTGCCACCTCAACAATGCCCATCAGTGCTATCAGTGCAGCCTCACCAACGCACATCATTGAAGGAGGAAAATTACCTGTTTGCAAAATTTTATAATAGAAAACAAAGAAAAACTTTTTTTTTCTAATTTTTTGCTTTTTTGTTTATAGTGCACAAAATAAAAACACCCAGTGGTGATTAAATACCACCAAAAGAAAGCTCTTTTGAGTGAAAAAAATTATAAAGATTTCATCTGGGTAAAATGTTGAATGACCGCGTAATTGTCATTCAAAGTGTGAGCGCTGAAAATTGGACTGGGCATGAAGGGGGTAAAAGTGCCCGGTAGGAAAGTGGTTAATCAGAGTAGGGCATCGTCAATTAAACTCCTCTGATATTGATCTGGTCAGTTAAGCATCAGAGGGGTTGTTAATCAGTTTCAGCTGCTTTGGTGTTAATGAAATTAGATGGTCAAAAATGAAACAACCCCTAAAACAGGAATGGTCCTACAGGTGGAGGCCACTGTAATTTTTTTCCCTACTCATCTCTTCTGTTTTTCACTAGTTTTGTATTTGGCTAGGGTCAGTGTCACTACTGGTAGCAGGAGGCAACACCTGAACCCTACAGAAGTTGCACAGGCAGTCCAACTCCTCCAGGATGGCACATCAATATGTGCCATTGTCAGGAGGTTTTTTGTCTCCCAGCACGGTCTCAAGAGCATGGAGGAAATTCCAGGAGACAGGCAGTTACTCTAGGAGAGCTGGACAGGGCCATAGAAGGTTCTTAACCCCCCAGCAGGACTGGTACCTGCTCCTTTGTATAAGGAGGAACAGGATGAGCACTGCCCCAGAGGCCTACACAATGACCTCCAGCAGGCCACTGATGTGAATGTCTCTGACCAAACAATCAGAAAAACTTCATGAGGGTGGCCTGAGAACCCGACATCCTCTAGTGGGCCCTGTGCTCACTGCCCGGCACCAGAGCTCAATTGGCATTTGCCATTGAACACCAGAATTGCAGGTCTGCCACTGGCACCCTGTGCTTTTCACAGATGAGAGCATGTTCAACTTGAGCACGTGAGGGATGTGAAAGCATCTGGAGAAGCTGTGGAGATCATGCCTATAACATTTGGTGGTGGGTCACTGATGGTCTTGGGAGGCATATCCATGGAAGGACACACAGACCTCTACAGGCTACACAATGGCACCCTGACTTCCATTAGGTATCGGAATGAAATCCTTGGACCCACTGTCAGACCCTACGCTGGCGCAGTGGGTCCTGGGTTCCTCCTGGTGCACGACAATGCCTGGCCTCATGTGGTGAGAGTATGTAGGCAGTTCCTGGAGGATAAATAGATACCATTAAATGGCCCCCATGCTGCCTGACCTAAATCCAATAGAACACATCTGGGATATGTTTTGGTCCATCCGAAACCGCCAGGTTGCATCTCACACTGTTCAGCAGCTCAGTGATGCCCTGGTCCAGATCTGGGAGGAAATACCCCAGGACACCATCTGTTGTCTCATTAGGAGCATGCCCCGGCATTGTCAGACACGTATACAAGCATGTGGGGGCCATACAAACTACTGAGTACCATTCGGAGTTGCTGCAATGACATTTCAGCAAAATAGACTAGCCTGTTGCATCATGTTTTCACTTTGATTTTCAGGGTGTCTTTGAAGTCAGTCCTCTGTAGGTTGATAATTTTCATATCAATGGGACATCCTTACGTTCCTAATACATTACCAAGTCCATATCAGTATAGATATCCAGCAGGAGATTTTCACCATTGAGATCTGATGTTTTCAAAGTGTTCCTTTCATTTTTTTTTGAGCAATGTACTAATAGCCGCTGTTTGAGCTAAAAAACTCTTTTGAAAAAGCACTTGAAATATCACCCATGCCTACTGTTCAGGTGATTTCCATCTAAAGTCTATGGGGACAAAATGATTACATCTGCTAGAACAGTAATGCAAGTACAAACAGGTGCCATTGGAAATAATGGGATTTTACTTGTTAGGCATTTATGAGCATCGCAAACCATCCAGTTTGATGCGGCAGTCTATCCAGTTTGATGCGGCAGTCCATCCAGTTTGATGCGGCGGTCCATCCAGTTTGATGCGGCGGTCCATGGAAATGAGCAGGCTGTTAGGCTGCATGAACTAGACCCTACGGATGATTTCAGGCAAAATGAAGCTTCTGAATATACATTTGGAATATCAGTGTTTTCTGGTGTGGAAGCGGCCCTGTGTCTCTGTGCTCCGATACCGCCACACACTGCTCTCCACATTGGCTCTTCCTCAGCTCTGCTCCTCACACGTGGCGCTTTATCCGCCCGCTCTATGACGTCCTACAAACAGGAAGCAGCATGGAGTGAGCTCGGCCATGTCCATGGAAGAGGAGGAGGGCGGCCTGACTGATGTACTGCCTCGGGACCTGGCCTCTCTCTTCTCCGACACGTACACGGATGAGAGCTGCTATGAGTTCTGCGGTCAGCGGCTGTCCATCACTCAGCATTACGGGGCCAAGCTCGGGGTGGCGGCTCCGGTGTGGGACGCTGTGAGTACGGGGTGGGCGGGGTTTCTGTTCTAATTGGTGGGAGAGGTGAACAGAGAGCTCGGGTCCTTCCATAGCAGGGCGCTCCATTCACTCATACACAGCACCCTTCCATAGTCCTCTCCTGCCTGTACCTCATGGGGGGGGGGACAGCGCTTCCTGCACCAAACATCCCTGACCAGTGTGCCTGGCTCCCATTCATTCCTATGGAGGGTCTGTCAGCCTTCAGGATGCATGCTAGCTGGCCTCTCCATAGGAATACATGGGATTTTCTCTTCACACAAGACTTCATCCATCTAGGAGTAGGCAGTATGGTCCCCTGTAGACTGTGGATTGGCTGGCCTGTCAGGAGTATGGACGGGTGCACGCGGTTGCGTGCGTATTATAGTCCTGAATTTACAGTGTGCCTGGAAATGCCACTTCCGATTACATGGGCGTATATTCTCCCAAACATGCAAGTATGGATTTTATCACAAAAGTTGCCTCAATTCGTACAACAGAGGACATTAATGCTGCTCTCACACGGATCCTTTTTTCTTCCACATTTGCATAAAAAAAAGCAGAAGAAAAACGCATGACCATTAAATCCTATGTAGCTCTTCACACTGCTCGGTTGCAGGTCCATTGCATTTTTCAAAGTCCTGCTTGCTGCATTTTGGCTCATGTTTGATGTGGGGGGAAAAAAAAACATTAAAAATGACCCCCCCCCCCCACGTTGAAATGAATTGAAAACACATAAAAAACACACCTCAATTAAAATGAAGTGAAATAAGCACCTGCGGTTGCATTTTTGGTGCATTTTTTGAGTTACATGTAAGGTGAAAAACGCACTGGAAATTCAGTAAAAATGCATATGTGTTTTTACTGTGTTTTTGCAATGGAGCAATGTAGAAGTAGCCTTACTGGCAATAGCCACCTGCGTCCAAGCAACAGAGGATGTTAAGCAATAGCCACCTACATTGTAGCCACAGGGGACACTAGGTGTCAATAGCCACCTGCATCCTAGCAACAGAGGACATGGTGGCAGTAGCCACCTGCATCCTAGCAACAGAGGACACTTGGTGGCAGTAGCCACTTGCATCCTAGCAACAGAGGACACTTGGTGGCAGTAGCCACTTGCATCCTAGCAACAGAGGACACTTGGTGGCAGTAGCCACCTGCATCCTAGCAACGGAGGACACTTGGTGGCAGTAGCCACCTGCATCCTAGCAACAGAGGATAGTTATCTTCTTAAGTGGACATGCCATTGCTGACCCTTTAAATTTTCATAGGCTGTTACCCTAATTCTAGACCTTGATAGCTGCGTGTTGCATGTTTGTAACTATGGTGCACTAGTGCACAGGGTGAATTTTGCTAATCTGATTGTGATTTTTCACTACATTTCACGACATATGCAGTTGCATGTAGTAGCAATCACCTTAATTTGGAGCATCTTGCTACTATTTGAGAATAAAGTCCAACTCTACCTTTTTCTACATGTCATACCCACATTTAGGGTGTAACATGTTGCTAAGTGAACACCCTCTACCCCGTGTGACAGCATGCGTTTGTTCTTCTCCCACCACAGTCAAGGTTGCTTTGGTGCGGCTGTGTAGGATGTGAATACATGCGTTTTGGGAGCGTTTTCTTGCCTAGAAATGAGCTTTCCATTTGCTAAAACTTTTTGAAAATTGCTCAAGCCAAAATTGTGCATAAAAATGACTGTGCAAATATGCAATACAAAAAAGCCTGAAAAACAGCCAGAGTCACTCAGCTGAAGTGTGAATGGGGACAAAAGGGTTTGTGAGATAAGCAGATGGTCACAGTATATAGTTACCTGTGCCTGGAAGCATTTATTGCATATCTGTAATGAGTATCCTGCTTTGTATGATCCCATAAAAAAGACAAATGATGCATTCCAAATCCTTCACAAATTCCTGTGTACACTGAACCTTGAGCATAGCTTTGTTTACATTAGCTAAATACATTGCATGTGCATAAAAACAAAGTGTGTGCAAAGTCTTGCATCTCATTTTCTTTAGAAAGCAGCCACCACTAAGTAGAAAAGGCTGTTCTCTGTCAGCATGCTGCAGGAAAGGACACTAGCTTTGCAATCAGCAGAAAACCTGAGCATTGCAGACTGAAGAGTTATAGGTCATTATTGAGTTGTGGTAACAGTCAGGGCAGTGCACAATAGGACAATGTCAGATTGCAATATGTGTGGTTGGCTTAAAGTGCACCTGTGCCCGACTACGGCCATTAACAAATTTACAGATTCTTAATGCTGTACACTAGGCAGACCAAACCGCACAAATGAATGCTGTTCTGTAATCTCTAATAGATCGTTAAAGCTGGCTATACATTGCAGGGGTATGGAAATTTGTTAGAAAACTACTTTTCCAAGGGACTAAACCCAGGTCCCAATTATTATTATACAGTATTTATAAAGCGCCAACAGTTCGCTCAGCTCTGTACATTACAATGGGAGACAATACATGCAACAGTATAATAACAATACAATGTGATACACGAGGGGATTGAGGGCCCTGCTCCTTGGAGCTTACAATCTAGGAGGGAGGGGATAGTGGTACAGGTGGAAATGGCTGTGGGGGATGGAGTGGTAGGAAGAGTGGAGGAGGTTGGCAATTAGCAGGGGGTGGGGTAGGCTTCCCTGAAGAGGTGGGTTTTCAGGGTGCGCCTAAATGAGAGGAGAGTAGGTGATAGTCTGATGGATTGGGGTAGGGAGTTCCAGAGGATGGGTGACACCCTGGAGAAGTCCTGGAGGCGGGCATGGGAGGAGGACACCAGGGAACTAGAGAGAAGGAGGTCTTGTGAAGAGCGGAGAGTGTGTGTTGGGTGGTATTTGGATATTAGGTCAGTGATGTAGTTCGGGGGCAGTATGATGGACAGCTTTGTACATCAGTGTTAGGATTTTGAATTTGATCCATTGGGCAATCGGAAGCCAGTGGAGGGATTGACAGAGGGGGGGTGGTGGAAACGGAGCGGTTGGAAAGGTGAATGAGTCTGGCTGCCGTATTCAGGATCGGCTGAAACGGGGATAGCCTGTGGCGAGGCAGGCCAGTGAGGAGGGAGTTGCAGTAATCTACTTGTCCTTCATGACAGTCTACTTGTCATGATAAAAAAAGAAAAAAAAAATGTAACCAAAACAGTATTTAAATCTGAGGTTCTTCTAGGAAAGGCTGGGTTTTCTAAAGATGAAAGGGGCTTTATGGCAGCTTAAACTTTTAGTATTTTCTACATTGTGCTGTTTCTCTCCTCCTCACCCCCTGCCTCTCTGCAGCACCACACCCAGGGACTAGCAAGGAGGGGGAGAGACCTTGCAGAGTAATGAGCACCGATTGGGTGCTCGTCAGGAAAGGGTAGCGTCAGGCTCTCTTAACGCTCAGCAGAAGCGCATATGCTGAGTAAGTAAATGAGGCGACGGCCCCAATGAGAAAAAAGAAAAAAAACTTTATTCCTTCAGGTTACCCTTGCACATGGAACTACTTGGAAGCTTAGTAAAGTACATGCCGAGCAGCCAAATCAAGTTTTGTTGTCCCCTCCATTAAAGGATAAGTTCACCTTTAAAAAAATTAAAAAATAAATGCAGATTTTTTGCAGGTAACTTTTTTTTTTTTTTTTAGGAGCCTGGAAAGCATTTTACCAGCGATCAGCAGAATGCTGGTATAATACAGGGCTCCAGCAGACTGTCAATGTAAGCTGTCTGTCCGTATATTGTATGGGCAGGCAGTTTTACACTGACAGGAAGAATCAGTGAACTGCCAACAGTTCCGTGATAGTTCATGGAGAACTACAAGCCGACATCCGCAAAGGATTTCAGCATTTGTAGTTGATTCATTCACAGAATTCTGTGAATGAATGATATGGCCATGTGGGCAGAGCCCCGTACGGCCGCACTTTTTTACAAAAAGTGACAGCTAGTACAGGGAACTTCTCCCTCTACTGCTGTCACACAGAGGGCCTGGATTGTCGATCTGCCACAGCAGCGGGAACATGTCACCCTAAAAACCGATGGACACATAAAACATGTTCCTGAAGGTGAACTTCTCTTTTAACCCTTTTGCTTCCAGAGCCATTTTTGGATTTTTTTGCACACGTTTAAAAAAATAATTGTAAGCCTGAGATTACATAAAACCCTCAAAATATTATATATTTTCTGAAAGCAGCTGCCCTAGAGTACAAAATAGCGGTAGTTCCAATTTTTTTATGTGACATGACATTACCGCAAAGGTCTTGGAAATGCAAAATTTCAGTAAAAAACACACAAGTTAATTTTAGGGCACAAAAAACGCAATACATTACCTAATTATTGGTAAAATATAACAGACGAGGCTGCACCAAGCAAATAGATACCCAACGTGTCAACCCTTAAATATGCGTACGCTTGTGAAATGGCAACAAATTTCAGTACCCTATATTTTCTATTGGCAATGTTTTCAAAACCCCCTATAGATCATCAGTGTAGCGTTACGGAGGAGGTCTGAGGCTAGATCTATTGTTCTCAAGAAAGAAAACTACCTCCCCGACACCTGGAACTGCCTGTACTGGGTGTCAGGCAATATGAATTGCGCATCCCTGCATTGTGTAATTTTCTTGTTCAATTTCCTTTAGACTTACCTTTAATTATGTTATGCAAGGGCCTGCCTGGCTACATGCAAATTGAAAGTGTTTAAGTCTGACCTCATGTTATATGGTTTTGCTAAATGTAAAGGAAAATTTTACAAGAAAATTGTTTAGTGGGAGAAGCAACAGCACAGGGAGTCATGTTGGCAAGGAGCATGCAGATAGGAGAAAGCAGAGTGACATAGAGATGTGCTTCTCCTGTGTTCAGTTATACTAGTTGGTGGGGGGGGGGGCAGTCATGTGTAGCCTTGGCTCATACGTGGGTTGAATAATGCTGGCCATCATTCATCCTGAAAGACTTAGGTTTCATTCACACATGGGCAGAATCGCCGATTTAAAAACGCTGTGTGACAACGTAAAAAAAGTGCAATCGCGTGTCAAGGCGCCATTCATTTCAATGGCACCTGAAAACGCAGGGCATTTTTTCCAAGATTACGGCACACAATCGTGCAAACAAAATCGCAGGACGCGCAACGCCCAGAAATGGTTCCAGAACCTAGTTCGGAAAAGAAGCACTGCATGGGCAGCTCCTGAATGAATCTGGGTTTGCAGCATAAGCTTCTTATTTTATTATATCTTGTAATGCAGTTGATGTTTTATTAGCCTTAATACAAGTCATCACTGACCTTTATAGTGCAGGCACTGTGCAGAAATTTACTGTCAACTTTACAGTAGTAGCACTGAATCCACAGCTTCTCTCTCCTTATTTTCTCTAGTAAGAGGTACTAGGCAGCCTGCCATCTTTCTAATGTAAACAGTCAGCAGGTGTTCTTAAGCTCCTCTTTTGTGAACTTTGAGGATTAATTATTCCTGAGCACCTGCAGCTACAGAGGTCGTTGAAGGTTGTTTTAAAACTCATTTTACTGCCTGTTAGCAACACTGTCAAGTTTTTATTGCCATTTTATACCTGCTGGGGAGAGTCACCTCAATTATTTATCCTGGTGACCATTGTGACTGGGACTTGCTGCACCTGTTAGCACAGCACCACTTCAAAAAGGATAGCCCTGTAAAGGAAGCTCATCCACAGCTTTCTGGATACCTGTGTCTTAAAATGCCACCACTTCACAGCTGCCTGACCACTGCAGATATTCAACCCTTTCGGGATTATATTTCACCCACCAACCTGTATATGCAGTGGTGGGATTTCTTCAGGGCTGGCCTTATTTCATAATTGACTCTGTATTGACATGGTTACTTTAAGTCCCGATTCCAGTGGTCAGCAGGCTAAATAGAGACTGTTACCATTCGCAGTAGGTACACAACAGCATTACCAACTTGACAGTGTTGCTAATACTTAAGCACTCTATCCAAACTGGCTATAAATACACTTAGGATGCAGGCTGAATTCTGTTCTGTAGTTTTATATGATATGGTTTAGACGTGTGTTCTTGGGTGAGGTTAATCTCTAGTCATTAGTAGTGGTATTTTATTAATTTGCTTTGATTTTGCATTACAGGCTCTGAATCTGTGCTCTTACTTTGAAGAGCAGAAACTGAACTTCAAAGGAAAGAAGATTATTGAGCTGGGTGCAGGAACTGGGATTGTGGGGATACTGCTATCTCTGCTAGGTACGTCAGAAGGATAAACGCATTGTCAAGAAAAACCTTGCACTTCTTGGTGGTTACTGTCTGACCCACATAATTAAAGATAACATTTCTGAAATAGAATATTGGTAAATGATAATATGAGTTGTAGACTGTCTTTCTCATAAACTTTTTTTAACCAGACTTTTTGTAACAGAGATTTGGAAACAAGATATATACAGAGGTTCAATGCGAAACGGTGCAGGATCAATACACACGTAAACAAATAAGGTCCAAAATTAGGGATAAGGGCTAATATGTTGAATACAATTTAGATCCTTGTCCCCCATAGATTAGTATTTTCCAGTGGTTAAGATAATAGAAAGGTGAAGACAATCACAAAACATCCTATGTGTGTTATAATCAGTTACAGAGACCAGTAAATGTGACCGGCAATTATTGGATCCATGAACATTAACAGCACAAGGCAGGGCAGTGAAAAAGGTTCACTTTAATCCCCACCTCTATAAGCCGGTCAAGTTCTAGTTTGCACAGGATTATGGACTTTCTTTATGATACAGCGCTGGTGATCGGACCTGCACTGTCGTGGAGTGAGTCACACACTCCTCCATACCTGGAAGTACCATAGGTCCTGGCATCTGAATAGCTTGACAGGGGGAGTGAAGGAAAGATGAATTTTGAGGGGGGGTTGATTTTAGCAAACTTCTGTGCTCTGATCAAGCACAGGTTTGCTTTAAAACCTCTATCAGGTTTTTATTGCTGCCTTCACCCCAGCTGGGGAAATTATTTTTCACTGTATGAGCTGGTGACCATTATCACCAGAATACAAAGTGGTGGGCTATCCAGAATTTTGCAATTGTTATTGGAACAGGACGGGAGAGGAAATCTGTCAGTGGAGGACAACTGTTTCACAACAGGGGTTTAACCCCACTCTTGAGAGGTTTTCACTTACCTGTTGTGTTTATGAAGCAAGAAGTGAACAAGAGGAGAATGTTAATTTCCCCAATGGGACAAAGAGGGCAAAAAGTAAATCTGATAGGGGTTCTAACTATTCCCTACACTATCCACAATTTGAAGTGTATGTAAAACCAAAAGGGTGAATCTCCCCAGCAGGGACACAGAAATCAATAAAATCTTGACAAAGGTCTACACCTTCTCTACTGTATCCAAACTTAAATAATACATTTTGCCTTTACATATATTTAAAAATTTGCCAGAGATACACTTTAATCACCTGCTGACTGCTCACAGTAAATTTAATGTGAGTGGGCAGCAGGTGCAGGCATGATCACATATATGTACGTGATCAGCCTTGTGTGAGCTCTCCTGCCAACCTGTGTTGTGATTGGACACAGCACAAGTTTGGCAGCTGATTTCAGCCAATGATTTTGGCTAAAGTCAGTTGATTGGCTGTGTCCAATCACTAACAGAGTTCTGTGTTTACAAAACACAAATCTCCATGTACAGGGAACAGTGATATATGGAGAAAAACAGCCATATAGTAAAGTAAAAAAGGCACACATTACAAATTGTTAGGCACACAGTTAACCTTTTGTTTGCTCCTAGATTAATCTCTTGATTGCTCCTAGATCCCAGCCAGTGTCATTAGTACAGTGACCTTGTACAGCTTTAGCATCGATCACGGTATTAATGTCACTGTCAGTGTATCTCCCAGCCAACAACAGTTAGCTCCAGATTGCCCACCACACTATCACCGTCCCACTATAAGTCGCTGATCACCGCCATTACCAGTATAGCATCATAGCTGCGTAAATTTCAGTTTACCATAGTTTGTAGACACTGTAGCATTCACTCAGACCCATTAATATACACTTACTGGCATTCTAGATTGTAAGCTCGAAAGAGCAGGGCCCTCGATCCCCTCATGTTTTGCATTGTATTGGTATTGTTCTGTCACATGTTCTGTCCCCCTTTGTAATGTACAGCGCTGAGTGAACTATTGGCGCTTTATAAATACTGTATAATAATAATAATTTGTTTTTTACCAAAGACCTGTAGTAGAATGCATTTTGTCCTTAATTTCTGAGAAAATTTGATTTTTACATTTTTTTTATTGAATATATTTTAGAACAGAAAGTTGAAAATATTGCTTTTTTCACCCCAAATTTTCAGCATTTTTTTGTTTATATAATAAAAAAGTGGTGATCAAATATCACCAAAAGAAAGCTCTATTTGTGTGAAAAGTATACACCTTTAGGTACTGTGTTGTCTGACCAAGAAATTGCCAGTTAAATTAGTGTAGTGGTGAATAGCAAAAATATACTCTGGTCATGAAGGGGGGAAAACCTTTTGAAGGCCAAGTGGTTAACATGTTTATTTTAACTGGGTATTTAGTTGTTCCACCAGACTCAAGAGTTCCACTTTAGCCGAAACTAGCTGCCGACCGCAGATAGCCGAATGACGGACACAGCTGATCACGTAATGTGGTAAAAGGCCAATCACAGCAGCCTTTTACCACGTGATCAGCGGTGTCCAATGACACGCTGATCAGAGGGAAATGCAAGTGCCGGTTCTCGGCTGCACTTTCCTCACGCTGTCAGATCGTGAGGAAAGTACTGCCGAGAACCGGCAGTTGTCAGAGCGGGGATCGGCACCGATCATCAGGGCACTGATGATCAGTGCCCTGATGATCGGTGCCCAGCAGTGCCACCTGCAAGTTCCGCCCACCTGTGCCCAGCAGTGCGCCCACTAGCTCCTAGCTCCGCTCCGTGCAGTGCCACCTACCTGTGCCCAGAAGTGCCACCTACCTGTGCCCAGCAGTGCCACCCACCTGTGCCCACCCACATGTGCCCACCAGTGCCACCCACCAGTGCCGTCCACCAGTGCCACCCACCAGTGCGGCCCAGCAGTGCCGCCAATCAGTGCCGCCAGTCAGTGCCCAGCAGTGATGCCAGTCAGTGCCGTCTATCAGTACCCATCGTCAGTGTCCCCTATCAGTGCTGCATATTAGTGCCGCCTATCCGTGACACCTCATTAGTGCTGTCTATCAGTGCCGCCTATCCGTGCCACCTCATTAGTACTGCCTATCAGTGCCCTTTAGTGCTGCCTATCCGTGCCCATCAGTGCCGCCTATCAGTGCCCATCAGTGCTGCCTCATCAACGCACATGAGTGAAGGAGAAAAATTACCTGTTTGAAAAATTTTATAACAGAAACAAAGAAACTTTTTTTTTTTTTTTTTCAAATTTTTTGCACTTTTTTTATTTATAGCGCAAAAAGTAAAGCGTCCAGTGGCGATTAAATACCACCAAAAGAAAGCTCTATTTGTGAGAAAAAAATGATCAAAATTTCATATGGGTACAATGTTGCATGACCGCGCAATTGTCAATCAAAGTGCAGCAGCGCTGAAAGCTGAAAATTGGCCTGGTAAATAAGGGGGTATAAGTGCCTGGTAGGCAAGTGGTTTAAAAAACACCCTTTATACAAACCAGCTTGTCATTTTGTTTTGTGTATATTGTTTCATTCTCTGCCATTCCTTGGCTAAAACAATGCTGTTATTAGTATAATCTAGTACAAATATATATAGACACTACACAATAAGACTTGAAGTGGTTCTAAAGCCTGGAGGTTTTTTTGCTTCATGTGCTCAGCAGAGGAGAGGGGCCTGGAGTGCCGCCAGGGGATCTGAGAAGAGGAGGATCAGGGCTGCTCTGTGCAAAACCACTGCACTGAGCAGGTAAGTATGACATGTTATTTAAAAAAAAAAAAAAAATATCTGAACCTTTAATGTTACTTTTAGTGCTTAGATAAGGGTGTCCCACCACTTCTCTGCATCGAAGTGCCAGGGTGGATCTGAAGGGGGGTATAAATGAATGTTATCACTGCAAGGTGATTGAAGCCACCACTGCCCGGAAAAAAACTGACAGTCGGACCTGAATGCATGGTCCATGTATCTCTATGGACCTGTAGTGTCCGTTTACACCTGCCTCCCTCTAATCCGAGAACAAGAACGTCTCCAGCACTCAAGAGTTGGAAGATGATGAAAATGTTTGCGGTACTTAAAAACATCCAGCAGCACAGGCCTTGCTGCCCTCTAAGGGTCGAGGAAAACCCAGAGGACTCACTGCAAAACCAGGAAAGAGAGGGCGCACCAGCCTAGTGCATTACCTAAGAGGTAACTTTATTAAGTTCAAAGGAGATATAGGCATATCAGTATCCAAAGCAATCACTTCACCAGTTCAGCTCCCAAAACATGAGAAGGCCAGGCTGGCTCTGATGAAGAGGGGATCGCCCCTCGAAATGCGTCAGCCATTCGAGGGTCTTCTCATGCTTTGGGAGCTGACCTGGTGACGTGATTGCTTTGGATGCTGATATGACTTTGTCACTACAGTCGTTTGTGAGTATATATCTTCTTTGAACCTAATAAAGTTACCTCTTTGGTATTGCACTAGGCTGGTGTGCCATTTCTTTCCTTGTTTTGCAGTGACTCCCTCTAATCCAATCTGCTATAAAAAAATGGGGATCTGTTCCCCTTCCATCTAGGTAGATTGGAGGGCAGTTGGGTGTAAGCAGACAGCCAGTCCGTTCACACTTGACTGCCCATAGAGCAGGGTGGGCTCTGTCCATGCCTTCTCTGTGTAAATAGAGCAGACACGGACCTGTCCTTCTGCTCTGCTCGCGGGGGGGGGGGGGGGTGGTCAGAGAAAGGGGCCATATGGAACCAAAGAACACAATTAAACTCTGCTATAAGTAGAACTTATCTGAAGTCTACACAACTCTGTGTGTTAAGAACGAGTTCCCAATGGCTTTCTGCAGCAAGGCCACACCAACCTAGTATAACAAGACCTAAGACGTTTGAGTGCTTTTGGATTTTTTTTTCTCTACATCTACTTGTGGGCGGACAAGAAATTTAAGAGGCACTTAACTAAAGGTACATTTGTCTTTTCAGTTTTTGTTTCCTTAATTCCAATCTTTAAAAGCTTAAACAGACCTCTTCTTTGGTGCAAGTAATGAGGCCCATTAACATTTTACATCTGGTGCAGGGAACGTTCTTCCAAGTGTTGTGTGGCTCGCATGAACAGAGAAGTAGTGAAATTGAGTTGTTCAGAACAGCGTTTATATATCTTACACCCACGTATGGTTACTTCAAATTAGAAAATGTTTCTTGTGAGTGCTTTGGTGCTAGAAATGAGATATTGTTGATTCATTCCTTGTTAATGACTGGGGTCTGATAACAAGAGCTGTTTGCTGCCTCCAAGAGGCTGTTGGGCAGCGCTGTTTTGTTTTCAGTCAGCAATGATTTTCTAAATGGCAAGGTTGTGTCAGGTCAGACATCTGGCAGACAGTACCGAGGCTTTTAGCAGGGCTTTCTGTGGTAATTGATTTAAAGTTAGTGTATGAAAGTAAACAAGTTGTTGATGTGATCTTCGTATCTTTATCACTAAAAGCAGACAGGTCAAATTCTACCTAATCATTCTCTACATTGGTACAAAGCCTATCTCTAGGTAAAAATTTGTCCAACATTTTTTTTATAAACAGACCCCTAGGTATCAGTGAATCTGTTGGAGCTTACGTGAGGCCATGACAATTTTCAGGCCTAGCAATTGGCCACTAGTCTTTAGAACCGCCGAAAAATCACAACTTCCCCCATACGCTGAAGCTGAGTGTGATGGAAAAAGAGGCAGCGACGGGAAGCACTATGAAGATAAATATAAATGGGTTACATGGTGGGATTTGAGAACCCTCTCACTGTACCATTAGTGGGATAGGTGACAGGATCTCTAAGTTGAAAGGTCAGCATGGTAAGATGAAGTTCAATGCCATGAGGTACTCATTGCATCTGCAGAACTTCTATAGATGAATCCTCTAATTATTGCATTGATGAAAGGCTCATAGTAAATGTAAGGACTTTGCTGGGGAGGCCTGAATTGTTGCCTTAAAGTATATGTGAACCCTTACCTTGTAAAACAATCCATTTTGTTTAAAATAGCAATGAAAGGCAAAACGTGTGTGTGTGTGTGTGTGTGTGTGTGTGTACACAGTGCGTGTGTGTGTACACAGTGCTTGGCAGAAATGAGTACACCCATTTTGAAAAGTAAGATTTTTACAAAAATTAGTTTTATAGAACATTTGTTTAGCTCATTACATGAAAGGTTAATAATATAACTTACTTACAAAATCTTCAATTTTACTCAAATTAGTTGATGCAAATGAATATGCCCCATAACAAAAACTACTCCATCTAGTATTTTGTATCACGTTCATGATTTGTAAGGACAGCACCAAGTCTTCTAGGCATGGAATGAACAGGTTGGCGACATATTGCAACATCTATATTTTTCCATTCTTGAAGAACGACCTCTTTTAGAGCCTGGATGCTGGATGGAGAGTGATGCTCAACTTGTCTCCAGAATTCCCCATAGGTCTTCGATTGGGACCAGATCAGGAGACACACTTGGCCATTGAATATCTTTCACCCTGTTCTTCTTCAGAAATGCAACAGTGGCCTTAGATGTGTGTTTTGGATCATTGTCATGATGGAAAAGTGCACAACAACCAAGGGCATGAAGTGATGGTAGCATCTTTTCTTCATGATACCATCAAAGAAATGCAGCTCCCCTGCACCAGCAGCACTCATGCAGCCCCCACAGAAGGACACTGTAACCAATATGTTTCACTGTAGGCACAATGTATTTTTCTTTGTACTGCTCACATTTGCAATACCATACAGTTTAGAAGCCATCAGTTCGAAAAACATTTATCTTGGTTTCCATCACTCCATTTTCAGCATGGACCCTGGCAAAATTCTAGGCAGGCTTTTTTGTGCATGTGCTTTAGGAGAGGCATCCTTCGTGGATGACACCCATGCATGCCATTCCTCCTGCAGTGTACACCTTAATGTGTCATGGGAAACAATCACCCCAGTTTGGTTTTCTACTTCTTTAGCTAATTGCACTGAACTTGCATGGCAATTTTCTTCAACCCTTCTCATCAGAAGACGCTCCTGTCGAGGTGTTAACGTCTGTGGATTGCCTGGACGTCTCTGTGAGATGGTTACAGTTCCATCTTTGTTAAATTTTTGTATCATTTTTGCTACAGTATTCTGACTGATAAGCAAAGCTTTGCTGGTCATTTTGCATCCTTCACATTTCTTGTGTAAAGAAATGATTTTCTTTCTCAGGCCTTATGACATTTTTCTTCCATGTGGTGCCATTGCTGACAGCATGAAATGGGAAGGGGTTTTCTTTAAGTAACACCTTTTTATAATCAACTGTCTGCAAGACACCTGTGTAATGAATAATTAGACTCACCTGGTCTTGAATGAATTTGTTAGGAAAAATACTTTTTTGTGTGTGCAAATTAACAAATCTTGTTTGCAATCAATGGCTCGCATATGTGGGAGTATTTTGTAGTTTAGAACATAGAAAATGTTGATTCTGAAAGGAAAGTAGAGGTTTTCTGACACATCTGTTGGGGTGTACTCATTTACTTGAGCAGTGTGTGTTTGTGTGTCATACTGTATACGTTATTCTTTTTTTTTTTTTCTATAAGTGATTCTTGTTCTCACCTGCATGAGGGGCTTGGGGAGTAAGGCTGCTTTCACACTGATCTGGAGAAAATGTGTGACTATGTATTCTTATCTTAAGTCCTGTTTGCTGCATGTTTTAATTAAAATTAATGGAAAAAGCCGCAAAAAACGCACTGCAAACACTGTACAAATGTGGCAAAACGCATATGCGTTTTTGCTGCGAATCAGTGTGAAAGTAGCCTGAGGGGTAGAGAAACAGCAGTATGCTGATATTCCCAGTGAATGACTGTGTGTGGTGGGGTGTCACCTCAAGTCCTGGTCATTGGAGGACAAGTAGACTGTGCTCCCAGCACAGCCAAAAAAACTGACCACACTTGGAAGGGTGTGCTCCTATGCCTAGCTTGGTCAGTTTGAAATAGGAAAGCAGGTGACTGGCAAGATCACCAGGTATTTCATACAAAAGAGGAAATAGAAAGAGATCAGGATACTTTAACACGCACACATGGTACAACAGACACATATTGGGAACATGAAACTTTGGGGTAACATTTGTTATAACTAAATGCAGATTTCTGGGTATTTGAGTATAATGCTGAGTCCACTATGATCACACACTCTACCTGATTTTGAGTGGAGCAAATATCACAAATATACAGCTAGCCTATTCAAGCAGAAGGGAGATATAATATATTACATTAAAGTGAATATTTACGTACAATTTCTAATTTTTAGTGTGGTATGCTGGTCCAGGAGGGTATAGTGATACATATTTTTTGTACATTTTAATATTCAATAACTGTGTTTTCATGATCAAGCATATTTATTTTGTACTAAGATTTACCTAGAATGTATGTGTGAAATTGAGTTTCTAGTACCTCCAGGACTAAGCCCCATGGACAGAATGGACTGGATGGAGTTAGGCTGCGCTGCTATCACCTTTTCCACGCTGGGCTTGCATGGTGTGCGGTGGCTGAGAATTCTTTCCTTGTTCTACGGACTATATGGAGTCAGGGCGGCCTCCTAGCCTGACCTGCCCCCTTAGTGAAATATACCGAATGGCGGACATAGATGCCAAAACAGAGACCTCTAAGTTGGTTTAGGTTCACATTGAGTCTGTAATAGTTACATAGATTGTGGTAGGTGTGTTTTTTTTTTCCATTAATTGGAGTACCAGGTAACTCCTGGCTTCTGGCAGTACCTAGAAGCCCTCTATAGAGTTCCACCATAGAACTCTATAGAACAGATGTTTTGAACTATGGCCCACTTCTGCATTTGGTCCGCCAATAAATAAATTGCAGGAGAGCCGCAGTAACAATAAACCTAATTGTCATCGCTGGTGTCCAAGTATTCATTCTGCCAGTCAGGGCCTGGAAAAGCAGCTTGAGTGTGCCTTGGCCTGCTGCTAAGACCCGACAGTGGTCACAACTTATTCATTCAGAAGTATTCTATGGACTTCTGCTACAACCCATTGCTGTCACTATCGGTGTTGCACTACTTATTCATCCAGTGCCTGTGGCAGCAGACCAATGAAGTATACAGGTCACACAACCGTGACAAGTGTTCTGTAGGCCAGGGTGTTCTGAGTCTACATTCACTCAGTGACTACAGGTGTAGGGCAGGTATCAGTGAAAGTTCATGTTGGCTAATCACATACAAAACAGGCAAACCTGCACATATGGATCAATGCAAAGTGCAACCTTTGTGGACAACTGTGCATGAGCTATAACTATCTAACTGGGTATGCAGCCGCACATTCTGCAAAGCCATAATAGAGCTTGCTCTTTATTTCACTCACCATCTGAAAGATCACCTTTAACAATCTGAAGGATCACGAACTTTGTTTAAAAACGTTGAGAACCCCTACTACAGAGAGTCTGACATCTGGCAGACTCTTAGGTTATGATTGACATTGATCATCTGTGAAGCTGACTTTTTAACAGGATATGTACAATGTAATAAAAATGGGGACAATGTTTAAAGGTTATTACTGGAAATAATTGTGTTTCTTATTCTTGCAGGTGGTAATGTGACCCTGACCGACCTTCCACATACACTTTCACAGATTAAGAAAAATGTATCTGCCAATGTTCCCGATGGCCATTCACTTAACGTGCGTGCATTGTCTTGGGGATTGGACCAGACCAAATTTCCACAGGACTATGACATTGTCATTGGGGCAGATATTGTGTATCTGAAGGACACATTTGACCACCTTCTCCAAACATTGCAGCACCTCTGCTGTCCTAGCACCACCATATTCCTTTCTTCCAAAATGCGGGCCGAGCATGGTACTGTGGACTTCTTCCAGGATGTCCTACCCAAGTATTTTAATGTAGAACTTGTAAGAAGAAATGCTGAGGATAACATCAATATCTACACTGTTACCCAGTATCCGAACTGAACTTTTATAATTTTTTAACATACACTGCCTTATATTACATTCCAGAATATGAAAGTAATCCCAGTAACAGCGTTAAAGCTGAACTCTAAGCAGATATAAACAAACACCATTTATTACAGTTGTGTAGTCACCGATAAAATCATTAATTGTAGAATACATTTGTCTGCCATACTGTACAGTTGCAAGAAAAAGTATGTGAACCCTTTGGGATTACATGGAGTTTTGCATGAATTGGGCATAAAATGTACTCTGAACGTCATCTAAGTCACAACAATAGAAGAACACAGCCTGCTGAACATAATACTACACAAACATTAGATGTTGCCATGGTTTAATTGCACATAACATGTAAACATTCACAGTGCAGGGAGGAAAAAGTATGTGAGGCCCTAGCTTAATGACTTCTCCGAGAGCGAATTGGATCCAGGAGTGAGCCAAACTTGACTCCAATCAGTGTGATGATATTAGATGTGTTGCTTACAGCTGTCCTGCCCTTAAAAAACACACACCTGTTTTGGGTTTACTGGTTTCAAGAAGCACTGTCTGATGTGAACCATGCCTCGCAGAAAAGAGCTCTCAGAAGACCTACGATCAAGAATTGTTGACTTGCATGAAGCTGGAAAGGGTTACAAAAGTATCTCCAAAAGCCTTGATGTTCATGTGTCCACGGTAAGACAAACTGTCTACAAATGGAGAAAGTTTAGCACTGTTGCTACTCTCCCTAGGCGTGGTCGTCCTTTAAAAATGACTGCAAGAGCACAGCGCAGAATGCTGCATGACGTAAAGAAGAATCCCAGAGTGTCAGCTAAAGACCTACAGAAATCTCTGGCACATGCTAACATTTTTGTTGACACATCTACAATAAGGAAAACATTAAACAAGAATGGAGTACATGGGAGGACACCACGGAGGAAGCCATTGCTGTCCAAAAAGAATATTGCAGCACGTTTGAAGTTTGCAAAAGAGCACCTGGATGTTCCACAGCACTACTGGCAAAATATACTGTGGACAGATGAAACCAAGATTGAGTTGTTTGGGAAGAACACACAACACTATGTGTGAAGAAAAAAGGCACAGCACACCAACATCAAAACCTCATCCCCACTGTAAAACATGGCGGAGGGAGCATCATGGTTTGGGGCTGCTTTGCAGCCTCAGGGTCTGGACGGATTGTTGTCATTGATGGGAAAATGAATTCCAGAGTTTATCAAGACATTTTGCAGGAAAAACGTACGACCATCTGTCCGCCAACTGAAGCTCCGCAGAGGATGGCTGATGCAACAGGACAATGACCCAAAGCATACAAGTAATTCAACAAAACAGTGGCTGCAACAGCACAGAATATGCCTTCTGGAGTGGCCCAGTCAGAGTCCTGACCTCAACCCAATTGAAATGCTGTGGCATGACCTTAAGAGAGCGATTCACACCAGACATCCCAAGAATATTGCTACACTGAAACAGTTTTGTGAAGAGGAGTGGTCCAAAATTACTCCAAATTGTTGTGCAGGTCTGATCTGCAACTACAGGAAACATTTGGTTGAGGTTATTGCTGCCAAAAGGAGGGTCAACCAGTTATTAAGTCCAAAGGTTCACATACTTTTTCCTCCCTGCACTGTGAATGTTTACATGTTATGTGCAATTAAACCATGGCAACATCTAATGTTTGTGTAGTATTATGTTCAGCAGACTGTGTTCTTCTATTGTTGTGACTTAGATGATGTTTAGAGCACATTTTAGGCCCAATTCATGCAAAACTCCACGTAATCCCAAGGGGTTCACATACTTTTTCTTGCAACTGTAAGTACTTTCTTCCAACTGTGAATCCTTGTAAGTACAAATTAGACTAGCAGAGGGTGGGGCAACATGAGATTTTCTGTCATCCTTTATAGTATTGCATGGCGTTTTTAGTTTCCCTTCCCAAATATGCATACAGGAAGGTAGAGAGCAGGAATGACATTATCATTGTGATGATTCTTTGGCCAATCAACAGGCTGGTGACCCAGCTGTATTATATAACTGAAGTGAAGAAAAGTGTGGTCACTAACCTAACTTCTGAAGAGAAATTAGAACAGAATTAAAAATATTTTGCTGGGTAAGACAATTTACATATCAATAGTGTATTTAACTGTTACCTTGGAGTTCAACTTTAATGCTTTTCTGCAGATATGAAGGGTTCTACAGTATTTGGAAAGGAAGATGTTTTTAAAGCAAATGTTTTAAGTGTTTTAGAACACGGTTTAGGGAATAATTCATACCAAATAAAATGAATATGGTTCTGTTCAAGAAGATACTTCAGAGAACTGTGATGATTAGGTTTAAACCTATAGCAACCAATCAGATTTCATTTTAGGGTAGTCAGACCAATGTTAGATTAATTTTTATTGGTTGGTGTTAATGAACATTTATAGGATTGTGCCACATGGATATAGGGTAGGCGTTTTCGAATTTTTCATTACTACATGCTGGATTTGGCTGTGCCTTTTTTCACTGGAAAAAAACTGAGGCTGACCTGCTAATTACGACAACATTAAAGTGGTTGTAAAGGCAGAAGGTCTTTACCTCCATGCAGTCTATGCATAAAAGTAAAAAATCTTCATTGTGCAACTCCCCCCTAATACTTTCCCAAGCCCATTCCAATGATATGCACAAGAGCAGCAGCTCTCCCAAGTATTTCCCTCCTTATTGGCTGAGACACAGCAGCGGGAGCCATTGTCAATCACAGCTAGTGAGGAGGGGGTGGGGCCAAGCCACACTCTGTGTGTTTTATGGACACACAGAGGCGGCTCGGGAGAGAATATGCACGAGTGCAGGGGGGAGCAGCAGGTGCACTGACTGGGGACCCGAGAAGAGGAGGATTGGGGCTGCTTTGTGCAAACCACTAGCACAGTGCAGGTAAGTATACCATGTTTGTTATTTTGTTTTTAAAGCGGAACCTTTATTATTACTTTAAACAAAGATCTGGCAAAGACGATATCAGCATGTACGGTATACGCATGTAAGGGCAGTAATTGATCCACGTAAAGGGGGTCTTCACATTTACAGAAAAGGTGTAGATTCTTTTATCCTAGGAGTCAAGCTTAAAAGCCAGCTATCTAAGCATTCCCACCTCTCCTAGTACATCAGGTGAAGAAAAAACTCGGTCCACCAGTTTCAGAAGAGCCACTACAGTCCTGCTATTGTCAGTCAGTGAAATGGCAGGAACCTGAGGGAAATCTATGACTCTATGTACAGTTTTTTTAAGTCTTGAATTAGTTGCAGTACTATCCTTGGGATCCCTAGATTACAACTGCCTTTCTATGGTAATGGCCAATCTACAATATGAAACCAGTGATGGATCTGAAACTGGCCTTGGTCAGAATGATAGAAACTTGTTGGGGTTTTCTGTGTTGCTATATGGGGTGGTTTAAAGAAAAGATGAAAACCCATTTAACTGAAGAGACACAGTAACAGCATTGCCAATATGGGTACCTGACCCAGTTTATATAATCCCTATGGGATGGATATTTAGTCTGTGTAACCTAGCTAACAATTTGATTTTTTTCATATCAGGGCATAATTGTATCTTCATTACTCTGGCACAAACCAGGATAGCCATCTGCTACTACAAATGGCACTTTTATCCCTGTCGGGATCTGCCAAAGAATAATTCACCCATGGATTTATAGGGTGTACAGCCAAGACTGGTATTTCTGTTATTGGTTAATACTACAGTTCGAAATTGTCTTGTTCTTATTGAGGCTTCAGTGGGGAGATCTCTGCCCTTGAGGTCACAGATCTGCCACAGAACAAGGGGGTCCTACTCTGCATTTTGATTTTTTTTCTTTAATATATTGATAATTAGTGGATTACTTGGTCTACTAAAATCCACCTGCAACACAACATAGCACATGACATAACTCCATCCTGTAAGGCCCACAAATTTCCATACCTCCACCTGGATGTCAGAGTTGACAGGCCATATATGCAGAAGATAAAATATTATTAATCTATATTTGTACTCAAATGTGGGACTGGGTTGCTGAAATACTTCATAAATAAAATGCACATGCCATTTTTAATGAGAAAAAAAATATATATATTTTAAGGTTATTAGATTTTTATTGCCCGCAAAATAGCAAATGAGTTTTATAATGTTCAGATGTACTGCTGTTTTTAAAGAACATAAACTGAAGAATGTTATATCCGTTTGAAGACTATTGTTTTAAACAAGTAAAAAATAAATGACAATATCGCAGTAAATTGCATGTGTTTTCTAAGTGGGGAAATGCTAGTATTTTTTGCATTATTTTACAGTTTACTGTACAGCACACTTTAATACATTATTTCTATAATGTACTAATTCATGACCTTAAATGCTTTCCAGATTCTAACATTTCTGTAAACAGCAAAATGCTAATCTTCATATGATGTAGTAGGAGTTTTTTCACTTTCTGGGAGTAGCTCAATATCTCACTTCTGGTTACAGCCAGAAAGTTTAAAGGTATATTTTACCTTTTGTAACGAAGAAAAAACGAATAAATGCACTTATATTGGAAAAATAAAAAATTTGCATTTATTAATTTTGCATTGGATCCTGAAAAGGATTGCAACTGTGATAATGCACACCTGCAATGCACAGGCTCCTGCAGACTAATTCTCCAGCCCCAGTTCCGTACAGAGGGCCTCCTATGTGGTGGCTGCATTAGTTTTCCTTTTTAGGCTGTTTCCATTTTCACCTAGTGATTATGCTAGTAAAACACTTTCTAACCTAGGATGAATTCAAACAACATGCTGCACTTTAATTAAATGAAATGATTTCACCACTGTGAGGGTAAAAGTAAATCGTGGTCTAACCTCAAAACTGAAAGGGGCTAATCACTAGATCATTGGACCTGCACTTGAAAAGGTCCTTATGTGCTTTCGCTGCATTTTCAACGCGTTTCGCCCCTCCCATCGGCCGTCTCGACGCCTGATGGGAGGGGCGAAACGCGTTGACGCATTTCCGGTTCATTCGCCTTACG